TCCAAGGTGTTAATAAAGCAGAAACTGTGCAGGGGTGAAAAGGGTTACATAGGAACTTCCTGTATCTTCTGTTTTTCAGTAAACCCAAAACTACTCTCAAAAAGTAAGTCTAACAAGGAAGAGGGAAAACAGATGCTCCATATTTAGGGATCTAATCTAAGGAGAGAGAGAAAAAAAATAAAAATAAAAAAGCTGGTCACTCAGGTTCCTGAATGGAGAATGGACGGGACACATGCAAGAGTAGCAGCTAGGGGAGCTATTAGGAGGCTAGCCCAGGAAGGGGGGCAGTGGCCAGGACTAGAGCAGAAGCTGATGGGGAGAAGTCATGCATTCCAGACATGTTCAGTCAAGTCGGACCCGACTCATAGCAACCCCTCCTTGGGTGTCTGAGGCAGTATCACTACAGAAGCAGAACCCACAGGACCAATCAACAGCGTGGTTGGGGTCAGGGCGGGGTGGGGTGGGGAGGAGAAGAAACAAAGATGACTCTTAACAAAAGAGTGGACGGTGGTGCCACCAACCGCAACAGGGGAGACTTAGGGAAGGCAAGAAGTGGAATGAATACCAAGAGCTCCTTATATGAGATGTGAACCAGAAGGCCTGAGAAAGGTCTGGAATTTAAAACTTGGGACTCACCAGCTTACAGATGGTATTTAAAAGCATGAGATAGAATAACCTCCTAGAAAGAGAATGTTGACCAAGAAAAGGAACCAAAACCTATCCCTCAGCAATCCCATCATTCAGATGTCACACAGAGGAAAGGCAACCAGCAAGGGAGACTGAAAAGGAACTACCAGGAAGGTAAGAGGAATACCAGGAGAGTGAGGTGTAGGAGTTGTTTCAAGGAGGAGAGTGTGGCGCCTTTGGTCACTGGTACAGGTCACTGGTGAACCTATCAAGGACAGTTTCAGTAACAGGTGGGAGCAGTAGCCAGGCTACTGAATATGAAGGTGAGCAAATAGTAGGATAAGAAAGTGAATGCAGAAAGTGGGTTTAGGCATATCTTTTGAAATGTTTTCAGGTTAAGGGGAACAAAGAAGGGGGATGGAAGCAAGAGAGGGATGATCAAATGAGAGCTCTTTCATAAGATGAGAGAAAGTGTTATTCAATATGGTAGCCACTAGCCACAGGTGGCTATTTAAATTTAAAGTAAAAAATTCAGGTCCCCAGTCACACTAGCCACATTTCAAGTGCCTGACAGTCACATGCAGCTAGTGGCTACCAGATTGGGCTGTGGAGGTACAGGGCATGTCCATCTGTGTAGAAAGTTCCGTCAGAGAGCACTGAATTAAGCATGTTTGCACACTGATGGGAACAGCCCTGGAGAAAGGTGTGTGTGATGGGGGGCAGGGGGAGGTTAAGGACAGGGAGATATTCCCTGAGAAGGTGAGAGGGGACAGGATAGAGGGTAACCTGGGAGAAGCAAGCCTCTGACAAGACAAGAAGGACGGGCCATTCAGCAAAACAGACAGAAGGAGAACACATGAGCAACCACAAGCTAGACTGTAAGTGTGTGGGAAGATGGTATTCCTCTGGTCTGTGGCTCCTATTTTGTTAATGAAAAGTGAGGTTAATATAAGTTTATGTGAATGATCAGAATTCCCAGGTGTATAGTAGAGCTGACAAGGGGCAAGGTTGTGGTCACTGCTTGGTCACAGCCAGCTACCCAGAGCAACCGAATAGGTGAACCTGCGGGCTTGGGACCATAGTCGCAGGGGACATCAAGCTCAATTGGCATAACATACTATACAAAACACTGTTCCACCTCCTACTTTGGCGAGTAGCAACTGGGATCTTAAAAGCTTATAAGCTGCCATCTAGATGCAACGATGGGTCTCTCCTTGTCAAGAAGAAAGAAGAAAACCAAATGAATGGAAACAATCAGTCCTAGCGACTGGTACACCATCTGATCTGCAACCTATACAACTATGAGACCAGAAGAACTAGATGGCGCCTGGCTACCACTGTCATCCACTTGGAAGGGATGTAGGAGATCCTGGATAGAGAGGGAGAACAATATGGAACAAAACTCAAAATCATTTGGAGGCAAAGAAAAGTGAGGTTAGGTGATTCTGTACGGCAGGGGAACAAGGTCTGAGAAGGGAAAAGGTATAAAATAGTTTGCCTTAGGGAGTGAGAACACAAGCTTTCTAGGGGAACCACATATTTAATGGAGAACACTTTGCAGAAGAAAAGCAGGAAACAGCCGTGAACATCTAAATGAAGAAAAGCATTTCATGTAGAAAGAAGCAAACTCAGAGGTTTTTTTTTTTTTTTTTTTTTTTAAATCCTGATCATGTCCCTATAGGAGGTCCATGATAAAGCTGAGGCCACAGCACGATTTCCTCCTGGCTACCCTTTCTTCCCCCTCCATGCTACTCAACTCTGAGGAAAGATAAAATTGGATGGCTCCATCCCATTACTGAATATTTTGATCAAAGATTCCATGTAAGAATTCTGATCAAAAAAGAGAAAATGCAGAACAGAATTTCAAATTCTAATGGAATCCAGTTCTTCTGGATCCATTAAGGCTGAATAAACTCCTGAAATGATTGCCCTGAGAAAATCTTTAAACCTTAAACCAAAAATATCCCCCAAAATCATCTTAAAACAGTAGTTTAGCTTAACTAGTTAAAAAAAAAAAAAATCTCCCTCGAGCATTATGCTCTTTTAAAAACTATCTGTTGTTGTTACGTACAGTCAAGTCAGACCCGACTCATAGCAACCCCTCCTTGGGTGTCTGAGGCAGTATCACTACAGAAGTAGATTGCCCAACCTTCCTGCCGAGGAGTGGCTGGTGGGTTTGAACCTCCAGCCTTCTGGTTAGCAGTCAAGTGTCTTAGGCACTATGGCAACAACAACCAGAAAGACTAGATATGAAGCTTAGGGGCACTGAGTTTATGTTAATTAGGGAGGAACAACTCAGAAAAGGAGAGTGAAAATGGTTGCACAACTCAAAGAATGTAATCAATGTCACTAAATTGTACATGTAGAAACTATTGAATTGTATGTTTTGCTGTGTATATTTTCAACAATAAAATAAATAAATAAAATTTGGGGGGGGGGAATGGCTCCCTTCCCCTTCCTCTGTCTGAATTGGTTACCCAGCACTTAGCTTCATCTCAATTTATAGCCATGGTTTGTACATTCACATAAATTATAAAAGAAGTGGATATATTTAAAAAAAAAAAAAAAGGCAGAGAGTTCAAACCAGCCCTTACTCACAAGGAGTAATATACATTTACTGGATGATGTTAAAATTACATGAAAGACATATTCCATGTTTAAACAAAATCCCCAAGCTACTCCTCCCTGATTCTCCACACAAATTATTTTCTGACATTTTCTTTAAGCATCTATGAGTAAACATTTTCATTTGCCTAGAACCATTTGATCTCAACCACAGTCAGAGTTTCAATATTTGCTTTTGATCACGCCAGTGTGTTGGGCTGGTTTTGTGTTGGCTGAAAGGAGGGAGGGGTGCTAAAATAACCAGATCACTTTTATCTTCCATCTTGAGACCTATCTTTGCCAACTCCTTCCCATGCACATTTCTTTTTTAAGTATGAAATCTGAGAACCTCAAAGGTTCCCACTGCTCAAAGAGCAGCCCTTTCACAAGGGTCACTGGAAATATTACAGAAAAATTGCTTTCCACCTAGGGTGCCTGTGGTAAAATGACCCACAGTTTCTGTATGTGTGAAAGCTCCGTGAACTGCACCAATGCCTTAAAGCAAATCTCCTGGTCCAGCTCTGCACTTCCTGGCTGGCAGCCCTCACAATTCCCTTCCTCAAAATTCTTCTTGGCCTGCCTCCAAACATCCTACAGCCCCACAGATAAGGACACTGAGAAAATGACTCCAAGAACTACCTGGAGTAAGGCACAATAAAGCCACTGATCCCAGGGGGCCGGCCTCTATATTCCAGCTCTCTGTTGGCCACTGGGGACATCTTTCTCCTTTTTATCCCCAACCCCTCCCAAGCAAGAAAGCAAGATCTCTAGACACATCAAGTAGAAATCTTTGGGTTATGCCTACGAACTGTTTAAAGAACGCTGGACTCAGCAGCCGGGGACACAGAGACCCTGGTTCACTTACCCCCATTGTCATAGTCAGTGTCCCTCTTCTACAAATGCTCATGGGCTGCCAACCTAAGGCCACCCAACCACTTTGGGTCTCAGATTCTTCATCTATAAAATGGGCACTGTGACCATTCCCTGAATGCAGACGTTATTTGAATGTGTGCTCACATCGGGTGAACAGATGCAAAGGAGTTAATTGTGTTATTAGCACAGTGGCTCCCTGACTCACAGCGCCCGCTGCTCAGAGAGAAGCCGAGGAGAAATCAATTCTGCTGTTTAAATTACTTTACATACTCAGAAGCATTAGTCACTTCGACAGAGTATTTCAACTTCCCCCCGGAGCATCTACCCAACTGTTTCAAAGATTTTAGCCTCGACTAGACTTAACAGACTTCCATCATCCTCAGCCCGCTCAAAGCCAATTCAAAGTCCACTATTCCTACGATGGAGATTTATTATTATTTGGTTTGTTCCCTTTCCAGGAAAACTTCGATTTCCATTTTGCTTGTAATAAAACTAATCGTGAAACACGACAAACTACTTCCACGCTCACAAACACAGGCCCTGGAGTTGACCGCGCCTGGGGGTAAGGGGGTAACAAGGAATGGCAAAAGCGTGGAGGTCAACTGGCCTCCGGTCCCTCTGGTGCCCCCGCGCCCGGGTTGGCAAAAAGGGAAAGGGCTACGGGCACGAGGCGGAAAGTCCGCGCCCAGGCCGGGGTACCCATGCTGGGTGTCTGCGCGCCCCGGCGGAAGGCGTTGGGTCCCGCGGCCGCAGGCTCTCAGGCTCTGGCTGCGCGCTCGCTCCCGGCGTGAGAAGGCGTGGGCTGGCCCGCCCGAGGGGCTCCAAGCCTGGGGACGCGAGCCGCGGCCCCGTCGCCCATCCTAGGGAACGCGCGGGGCGCGCGCCGGCTCACTCACCCCATCTCCGGCGCAGCTCCGGTGGCCGCTCCGACGGGGCCTCTAGCGCTCGCTCTCTGCCCGCTCGGCAGCTGCTCCCCGCTCGGCACATGCGGCGGCCCGTGCGCGCCCGGCTCAGCCCCGGCGCCGCTCCATTCCGCGGGGCTGCCGCCGTTGCTGTTGCTGCCGCCGCCGCCAGGCGCGGGCGGGCGGGGGCTGGGCTTCCAGGGACTGGGCGGCAGAGCTCGGGCGGTGCCTGCCCCGCCCTCCCGCGTGCGCTCCTCCGCCCGGTCCTTACGTAACCCGGGGTCTCGGGATGGGTGCCGCAAGCCCAAGGGCAGAGGGCGCGTCAATGTGTGCGGCGTCCTCGGCCCCGCCGCGCGACCGCCGATTTCCTCCCGGGCAGCCCCCTCCTCCTCGTTGCAGACAGACCTGAGCGAGGCGCGCCCCCGCCCATTCCCACCCGGGGGTTTGGCGCAGTCCCGCGAGCATCCCGCCTGCCTTCTGGACTGAAAGTCCCACTCGCAGCTGGAGGGAATTTTGGGACTACCTTTAGTTTGCAGATTAGGGAACCCGACCGGAGGGAAGTGATTTGCCTACGGCCATTCGGAATACAATTCAGGTCTCCAAAATACAAGATGGGCATAACCAAGCCCTCCTTGAAGACCACCTTCATCTTCCTGTTTACAGACCAGGTGGCCTCAGGGTACCCGCCACCATGGAATTCTTCATAAATGTGTCCTACACCCCTCAGCAGTTATTCTGGGCTCTTCCTTCCTTCAAGATGGGTTTGGGGTACCCAAATGAAGGGTAAATACGCTTTTAAGGAGGCTTCATCAAACTTGCTTTTATTCTTAGAACAAGAGAAATGGAGATGGGAAAAGTGGAACTTAAAGATCAGTTTCTTAATCCACTTTCCACATATCAGTCCCTGGTTGCCTACTGAAATCTGGCTCTGAGGCAGACAATGCTCCCTGGTGCACCTTCCACCTAATCTCCATCCCCCCTCTGGGCCTTCCACAGGATCATCTGCTGAGAACACACTGTCCACTTGAGCCTGGCATCTCAGGACAGTAAAAAAAAAAAGTCAACAAACAAGCAGATGAAGCAGGGCCATCACCTCAAACCCACCATCCTCTCTCCTGGGATCTCCTAACCCCTGTTGTCTTCCCACAGGGGCACTGGCCATTTTAATGGAGCTCTGGTAGCATAGTGGCTAAGGCACTTGACTGTTAACCAGAAGGCTGGCGGTTCAAACCCACCAGCCACTCCTCGGAAGGAAGGTTGGGCAATCCTAACTTCCGTAGTGATACTGCCTCGGAAACCCAAGGAGGGGTCGCTATGAGTCAGGGCTGACTCGACGGCACATAACAACAACAACAACACATGTGGTGAATTATTTTCTCAAATACAAATCTGATAGTGTCAGTCTTCTGCTTAAAATCGTTCAGTGACTTCCTCTCCACTGTCCCTTGGATGAAGACCAAGATAGGGAACATGCCTACAAGGTATGACGCCACTAGGGCTCCATGCCCTCTCCAGTCTTTTCTGCTCCCACTCTCCCCTCTTGTTTTCCCACACTAGCAAACTGGACACCTTTCTTTCAGCCCCAGGGCCTCTGCACATGCTATGCTCCCAGTCTGGGAAGATTTCCTCCTCTCCTCTCTTCCCTAACTCAAGCAAGCCCCTTGTCTAGTTAGACCCTACTCATTCTTCAGACCTCGGTTAACTGCCGTTTCTTTGTGGAAGCTTTACCTAATGCCCTGGACTAGATTATGAACTCCTGTTCTTCCCTTCCATTCTATTTAATGTTTGTGTTGTATTATTTGTGAAATTATTGGTTTAATATCTGTCTCCTAGGCACATGTACAAACTCCATGAAACCATGTCATTTTGCTTATATTGTATCACCAGTACCTAGAACTATGCTTGAAGTTCCTCCATAAATATCTGTTGAACAAACGAATAAATCTACGTAGGGCAGGCCATAGATAACCAAAACAAACCAAACTCACTGCCGTCAAGTCAGTTCGACTCATAGCAACCCCTCCTTGGGTTTCCGAGGTGGTATCTCTGCAGAGGTAGACAGATGCACAAAATTGGCCAGGGAGTGTGAGCACAAATAAGGCTGTTTACCTTTGGGGCTGGATGAACACTTGGTCCTGAAGGAAATTTATCCACCATGAGCTGAATTACAAAGAGTAGGACTGAGCCAGGTGGTGAAGTGCCTAAGGCATTTGACTGCTAACCAGAAGGCTGGTGGTTCAATCCCCGGAAGGAAGGTTGGGAAATCTACTTCCGTAGTGATACTGCCTCGGAAACCCAAGGAGGGGTCACTATGAGTCGGATCTGACTTGATGGCAGTGAGTGAGTGAGGACTGAGCCAGGGTGCTGAGGGTAGGGTGTTCCTGACAGGGTCAAGAGCAGGAGTCAGCAGGAGAGGCATAAATTGCAGCAGCCAGCTCAGCTGGAGTAGGGATACCAGAAGACAGAGTCTTGATGTGGTGAATCCCCAACCAAGTAGTGCCTCAAGTCCTAGACAGGAGTATCCTTTTGCTCCAGGAATGGAAAGGACACACCCGAGTTACCCTGGGAGGATGTAGCAAGGCCAAACAGGTGGGGTTGGTGAATCACTCTGGCTGCTTTACAGAGTCAGCATGAAGTTGGGTGATGTTGTAGGTGTGAGCCCACTCAAGGTTAACTGCTCCATGATTAAGGTGGCTGTCACTGTGGGACAAAGGCTCTTGCCTGGGGTGATGAGAGGGAAGGGTGGATCAGATAACATTGGGAAATGGATGCACCTCTTTTCTTCCAAATTCTGGCTTCTATCCCTGTGGGGAGTGCCCTCCACTCCTCGCTTTCAACCACAACTCCAGGTCTAGGTGTCTTGAGAGTTTTCCAGATGGGTCCAGAACCCAGAGCCTTGTCTAAGCTTCTGTGGTCATCCTTGCCAGTAGTATTCATCATCATGGAATCTTCCCTAGAGAAGTACTACTCAATTTCTTTGCCAGGGCCCCTATCTGAGTCAATACAGTCACCCTTTTTCTGTGGAAAAATTTCCCATCTTCATGGTCTCCATGGCCCCAGTTATCAAGGGAGATGATCAATGAAGTCTATTCTTTGGGAAGCCTAGAATGAAAGGGAGAACAATGTACTGCTGGCTTAAGGTTGAGGCAAGACCAAGGAAAGTCTTTTTAGGCAAAGAGATTAAGTATCTTAGATTGAGCAAGAGGAATCAGTGAGGCCGGACAAGACTGAAGATGTGAGAAAGTGGGAGGTGATGGGAACCAGGCACAGGTGGAAGAGTTAACCTTGTCATAGGTAGGTCTCCAAAGGATGGAGAGAGAGGTTGAAGGAAGTCTTGCCTGGTGGGCTACATTTTCTAAAAGAAGCACAGACATCCACTGAGCATGCATGAGAGAGAGGAGATGGGGTAGAATCTAAATTTGAAATAATAACAGCCTCGGGAAAATTTAAAAAAATAGTGTTTGGATAGATCCATAGTTGGGAATGAGCATGACAGAGATGCCCCCAGAAGTCTGAGAGGCCAGACCTTGACCAGCACAAGTTCAGGGACTCAGTAGTGCTATTCCCTGCCCTTCTGTGTGGGCTGCAGAGGCTGCCCAGAATCTGATAGCCAGGCACAGTGAGGAACATTCTGCACTCTAACTGGGACAGATCAGATAACCACGGGTGGCTCACTAGAGAGCTATACTAAGCCTGGGAAACTAAGGAAGCAGGGAGCAGCTCCACGTACCCTTACTCTACTTTACTGCCAACTAATTTTCCCTAACATTATGTGCAGGCAAGCACTGTGTGCCCTCTGTATCTAAGAGAGTGGCATTCCACATCTCTGACTTCTCATCTCCCAAAAGTTACCTCCTAGAGAAATGGCTGATTATAGGCTTGGAGCAGGGAAAATACAAGGTGATTCTGAAGCATCTTGTAGTACCAGAAAGTAAGGAGAGCTCAAAAAACAAAAGGATGGGGGCCTATCAAAGGAACACACATGTCAACTGGAAAGAGCTCCCAATAGCCAAGACTGGAACACTTGTTGGATAAGTGTTCCAGTCCTAATGTATAGGATATAATCTCATACATAAAATAAAAATGCATGAGCCCATACTGATAAAAACTAATAAATAAAGAAATGGAGAATAGACTAATCTTCCTTACAGAAGAACTCCAAATATGTGTAGCTATTCCCCTTTCCAGGAGGGCTAGACTTAGTAATTTCCTTCCAAAATATAGAGTATGGGAAGGAAAAAATAGGAACTTCACAGTGGAGAAACCTGGCAGACACTACCTTGACCAAAAGAGCAAAGTTAACATCACCATGGTAAGTCATGTTGATATTATGTATCCCCTGATATGATGTGATGAGAAGGGTATCTCATCACTGTGGTATTTTGTTCCCAAAACCCATAACCCCAGTTTAATTATGGCAGATATATCAGACAGAACCAAATGGAGGGACACTTCACATAATAACTGACCAATATTCCTCAAAATTGTGAAGTTCTTAAAAAAGAGTAAAAAAGGTCGGTGACCAGAGGTGGCTACGAAGACATGACAACTAAATACAATATGATATCCTGGATTGGATACTGGAACAGAAAGAGGATATTAATGGAAAAACTGGTGAAATCCTCACAAAGCCTAGAGTTTAGTTAAAAGTAATGTACCCACGTTACTTTTTAGTTACAACAGATGTTCCATGGTAATGTAAGATGTCCGCAATAGAGGAAACTGAGTGAGGGATATACAGGAGTACTCTCCTATCTTTGCAACTTTTCTGTAAATCTAAAACTAGTCCAAAGTAAAAATTTTATTTTAAGAAAAGCCCCTGGGAGCTTCCTGTACACCAAACCCTCTTTGCAATACAGCCATCAATAATATAAGAAAGAGGCAGATATAGAATGCTGAAAAAGTCATTTGTCAGGGGATACCTGGAGACTTGAAGGTGTTTGTGTAACTTCAAAAGGAAGTCATTGAAATCAGTGTTTCTTTTCCTTTTTTTAAAAAACTCACCTTAAAAAATACATTTTACCCTGCAATGCAGTACATACTTCAACTCTCTGTGTATCCAAAACTCATTGCCTGAGTTGATTCCAACTCATAGCAACCCTGTAAGACCAAGTAGAACTGCTTCATAGAGTTTCCAAAGCTGTAAATCCTTCCAGAAGCAGATTGCCACAACT